ATCTGGCTCTTCCTCGCCCTCGAGCTCACGTCGCTCCCGACCTACGTCATGGTCTCCATGTCCACGCCCCGCGCCCGCTCGCAGGAAGCCGGCGTGAAGTACTTCTTCCTCGGCGCGCTCGGCGCCGCCACCTTCCTCTACGGCTTCGCCATGATCTACGGCGCCGCCGGCACCACCTCCCTCTTCGGCACCGCGGACGCCCCCGGCATCATGCAGATCTTCGCCGAGAACGGCATCAACGCCATCGGCATGCTCGGCATCGTCCTCGCCGTCGTCGGCGTCTCATTCAAAATCGCCGCCGTCCCCATGCACTTCTACGCCGCGGACGTCTACGAGGGCGCCGCGACCTCCGTCTCCGCCTTCCTCGCCTTCGTCCCCAAGATGGCCGGCTTCGTCGCGCTCATCATCCTCCTCACGGCGGTGGGGTGGTACCACGGCCCGAACGGCGACGCGCTGCCCGAGGCCGTCCGCGTCATCCTCGTCATCATGGCCGTGCTGACGATGACGATCGGCAACGTCCTCGCCATTCTCCAGACCTCCGTCAAACGCCTCCTCGCCTATTCCTCCGTCGCGCACTCGGGCTACATGCTCGTCGGCCTCGTCGCGGGCCCGGGAGATGGGACTCTCACCAGCAACGGCCTCGCCGCCGTCCTCTTCTACATGCTCTGCTACGGCTTCATGAACCTCGGCGCCTTCGCCGTCATCGCCTGCCTCGAGCGTCCCGGCCCCGACGGCACCGCCAACGAAATCGAGACCATCGACGACCTCAAGGGCCTCTGGGCCACGCACCGCACGCTCGCGATCGTCATGGTCGTCTGCGCGTTCTCGATGCTCGGCCTGCCCCCGCTCATCGGCTTCTTCGGCAAGGCGTACCTCTTCGTCGCCGCGTGGTCCGCGGGCGAGGTGCTCCTCATCCTCGCGCTGGCGGTCAACTCCGCGATCGCGGCCTACTACTACCTCCGCCTCGTCTACGCCCCGCTCATCCAGGACCCGACGCCGCAGACGAACTCCCTTCGCGTCACCCCGATGCCCAGCCGCCTCATCGCGGCCGTCGCGAGCGCCGTCTCCGTCGTCCTCCTCCTCGGCCCCGCCGACGCCCTCGTCCGCGGCGCCGACAACGCCACGAGCCACGACGCCTCGCTCAGCGCTGAGGCGTACCAAGACCAGCCCGAGCTGACCGAAGCGGAATAACAACCGCGAGCGGAAGCGAGCCGGACCAAAGGTCAATCGGCTCGCCATTGCGTCCACCAATCCTGAACAGCGCCCACCCCTGAGCATTTGGCCATTTGAATTACGCCGCCGCCGGCTTCTGCCCCTTCGTGTCCGCCTTGTTCGCCATCTCGTTCATCCCCTTCAGGCCGCCGCCGAACTGCACGACCGCCCCGATCAGCGCCGCGCTACCCGCGACCACCGGGATGATCAGCGGCTTCTCGGAGATGCCGTCGAGCATCCCGCCTCGGAACGACTGCACGTGCATGAGCAGGCTCATCCCGCCCAGGACGAAGAGCGAGGCGCCGCCCACCGCGGTGAGCACGATGACGACCGCGCGGAACGTCAGGAACGCGAGCATGCCGACGACGACGAGCCCGACGATCGCGCCCACGTGGTGCATCTCGGGGTCCGCGCCGACGGCCGTCCAGATGTTCGCCCCCGCGAACGCCCCGGCGAGCCCGCCGAAGAGCGCCGCGCTGTAGCGCATCAGCGGCCACGCCAGGATCACGAACAGCAGCGCCAGGCACCCGCTCGCGACCTTCGTGTCGCCCACGTGCTCGCCGATCAGCATCCCCGCGTAGACCCCGCTCATCCCCGCAAGCACCGTGATCACCGTCTTGTGCCACTTGTACCCGTTGATCACGCACGTCGCGCCCACGAGCACAAAGATCAGCGCCCACACCATGTTGATGTTCGTCACGATGTCCGATAACGGCGCGGGATGGTTCAGAACATCCAGGTTCTCGCGCAATCGAGCGTTGATGAGCGAGATGGGGTTCTCACTCCCGAACGACCCGCTCGAGGAGCCGCTGGAGCCACCGGACTGCGCGAGAACGAAAAGTGTGTTGATCATGGCGCACCATTCGGGGGGTCAGGAAGTCGATTCCGAGCTTCCTTTATCGGCCGACCGCTTCCCCTTGCGCCACTGGAAGAAAGCTCCGATAACCGCCAATCCGAGCCACAGGAACACCCACACGATCGTGCTCTCGGGCACCACGCGACGCACGTCGATCGTCATCGCCTGCAATAGCCACACCACGCCCGGCAGCCACACACCCGCGCCCACGCTCGACGCCAGCAGCCCCGCGGCGTACTTCGGCATCAGCATCCCCAGCCCGAATCCCGTCACGAACGCCAGGAACCCGCCGACCAGCATCCCTACCCGGTGCGCCACCGGAAGCTTGAGCCACTCCGTCTCGAGCTCCACGAACAGCTGCTTCAAAAAGTCTCGCACCCGCGCGTCCGTCGCGTTCACGACGTCCTCGCCAGCCTGCTCGATCTCCTCGGGGATCGTGAACGTGTCGATCAGCTTCTGCGTGCCCGTATCCAGCTCGCCGTTCACGATCGGCACGTCGTCCTGAAGCAGCTCCTGAATGGAAAGCGGACCACCCTGAGACACGTTTTCGGGGACCGTCCCGAGCACGATCGGCACCACCACCAGCGGCGCCGCGATCGTGAGAAGCGTCCCCATCGACGCCGCGACCGCGAACCGGAACGCCATCCACCCGAACAGCAGCCCGATGACGCCGAGCACCACCATCGGGAAGACCGGGCTGATCGTCAGCCCGAATCCCACCGTCGCGACGTACCCCGCCATCGCCCCCGCGAGCAGCCCGAAGACCACGAACCCCGCCTTCAGGAACTTCCGACCCCAGAGCCAGAACACGAGCCCCGCGACCGTGAACGCGCCCACGATCGCGTGCGCCTCGATGGGCAGGTCCGCGATCAGAGTTGGGTTCGAACTCGCGAGCATCACCGCTTCCTTGGGCCGATCCGCCCCGCCATTTCACCGAACCGGGCCCGAATTCCGGCATATCCGGCTGGCACACACGCCCCGCCTTGCCGATGATACGCCCCATGGCCGACGCCCATTCAGAATCGACCAAACCCACGCTCTCGCTCGACGATCTCCGCGAACGGATCGATCAGCTCGACTCGAAGCTCGTCGAACTCCTCAACGACCGCGCCAAACTCGTCGTCGAGGTCGGCAAATACAAACGCGGCACCGGCGTCCCCATCTACGCGCCCCACCGGGAGCAGGCCGTCCTCCAGAAGGTCCTGGACGCCTCCCGCGGCCCCCTGCCCGCGAGCGCCATCGAGGCCATCTGGCGCGAGCTCATGTCCGGCTCCTTCGCCCTCGAGCTCCCCCTCCGCATCGGCTATCTCGGCCCCGCCGGCAGCTTCTCCCACCAGGCCGCCTCCAAGCAGTTCGGATCCTCCGTCTCCTTCGAGGACCTCCGCGACATCCGCGCCGTCTTCAACGAGGTCGCCCGCGGCCACTGCAACTACGGCCTCGTCCCCATCGAGAACTCCATCGGCGGCGGCATCGTCGAGACGCTCGACGCTTTCCTCGACGTCGGACGCGAGATCGAGATCTACGCCGAGGTCCAGATCGCCATCCACCACAACCTCCTCGCCAACTGCGAGCCGAAGGACGTGAAACGCATCCATTCCAAGCCCGAGGTTTTCGCGCAGTGCCGACACTGGCTCGGCGCGCAGTACCCCGGCGCCGAGCTCATCGCCGCCGCGAGCAGCGCCCGCGCCGTCCAGACCGCCAAGGCCGAGGAGATGCTCGAGCCCGGACGCGGCAGCGCCGCGATCGGCTCCCACCTCGCCGGCCAGCTCTACGGGGTCAACCTCCTCTTCGAGACCATCGAGGACGACCCCAACAACATCACGCGCTTCTTCGTCATCTCGAAAGAAGCCGCCCAGCCCTCCGGCGACGACAAGACCTCGATGATGTTCACCACCCAGGACAAACCCGGCGCGCTGGTCGAGGTCCTCCAGGTCTACGAGCGCGCCGGCATCAACCTCACCCACATCGACAAACGCCCGAGCGGGCGCGAGAACTGGACCTACACCTTCTTCGTCGACGCCGTCGGCCACCGCGAAGAGAAGAAGATCATCGACGCCATCACCGAGATCAAGACCCACTGCAAGGACGTCACCGTCCTGGGCAGCTACCCGAGGTCGAAGCGGATCCTGTGAGATTCAGTCACTCGGCAGGAACACCCACAGCTCAGGCCGCCCGCAATTGCAGTGCACCGCACGCCCCAGCAGGCCGAGCCCGCTCGCGCTGAGGTAGACAGACGTCCTGGCCGCGCCGAGCGCCCCGACGGAGCGCGCGTCGTCCCGGTGCTCCGCGCGATTCCGAACACTGGGGATCGGGTGGAACACCGCCTCGACGCCCGCGGGGCGCTCGCGTTCGCCGTCCTGAAGATCGTCCAGCTCGAGCATCGCGTCGCGGATCGCCCGCTCGTCGTACCCGCGCTCGCGGAGCGACCGGTCGACCTCGAGCACGCCGCGACGCGAGAGCGTCGGCAGCGTCAGCAGACCCACAAACGACCAGAGCGTGAACCACAGGGAGAATTCGAGAATCCCGGATGCGCCGCGGGCACTCTCGCCAACCATCGCCGCGCTGAACACGATCCCCGCCCACGTGAACACGACCGACACGAGCCGCCCGCGGTGCCAGCTCCACGTTCGGATCGACGCGTCGCGACGGTCGACGACATAGTTCAATGTTTCGGGCGAGAGCAACCCGACCCACGACGAGGGCGTCACCACGCCCCGCGGCCGGATCACCCCGGTGATCCCGCCCGTGAACCCGATGTCCCCGCTCTCCACCATCCGGATCGGAAGCCCGCCCGTCGTCCGGGCGCCGCTGACTCCACGCGTCCGGATCGCCCCGATCGCACGCATCAGGAGCGGACGCCCCGCGAGCAACAGCACCGACAGGCCCACGCCCACGCCGATCAGTCCCGGAGCACCAAAGCGCGCCCCGCCGACCAGCAGCGCCCCGCCCGCCGCGACGAGCACCAGGCCGTGCGCCATGGCGCCGCGGAGATACGACAGCGCAAACGAGGCGAACGGCCGCGCGTCCTTCCCGTACCGCCTCGGCAGCACGAACCCGCCGAGGACGTCGAACGGCACATGGACGAGAGCGTACGCCAGCACGAACACCGCGACGGACGCGACGCCCCCCGCGAGACCGACGCCGAAGAGCGACCCAATCCAGGACGGCGCACCGATCGCAAGACCGAGCAACGCGAGCGTCACGAACGCGCCCACCGTCGAGACGCCGATCCAGAGCCGCGCCCGCCCGTACGACACACGCCGATCCCACGGCTGAGCCCCCCAGACATCCGCTCCGGAAGGGATCCCCCCGGCCCGACGCTCACGCGACGGCGCCGCACTAGTGTATTGACGCTGCTGTTCCATGAAAAAACAGTTCGACGCCCCGGCTACGGAGATTCACCAATTCGGCGTCCACCGCCCAAGACTGAACGAGTGATCCAAGAGATCACGCCCTCCCGCCGACCGTATAATGAAGGCCCCACGCCGGAGTGGCGGAATTGGTAGACGCGATGGATTCAAAATCCATTACCCGCAAGGGTGTACGGGTTCGATTCCCGTCTCCGGTATTGCTGGCGAGCGACGAAAAGCCACGGAGCGCCAGCACGCCTGACCGCGCCAAAACCATCGCCGGCTAGATCGATCACCCGGTGAGACCCCCGGCCTTTCGCGCAGCCTCCATGACCTTCAGAAACATGGGGATTGCACCCATCCCGCAGCCGGGCCCGTGCTACCGGACGTTTCCGATCTCGGCACGAGCTCGGCAGGGGGGCTTCGGGCCGATGTCGAGAGATTTGCTGTGGGAATCCCCTCGGGCTTGCGATACTGTTGGGTGTCCGGGAGCGTCCTGAGAGAGGGAGAGTCGATGCGCCATACGAACTGTCCGACCAGCCGACCGGCGCACCGATCGGGCGCGTGCCCACAGCGCGTGCGAGCGCGCCTCTCCCGTGGTGGCGCGGACCGGTGAGCCGGCCCATGAACGCAAACCTGGCCGTCGGCCTCACGCTCTTCGCGTCGACCATCGCCGCCGCGCAGATCTGTCCGCGGAACGAAATTTTCGACGCGCTCTACGAGGCCGATACCGGGAACACCCCCCGCGGCGTCGTCGGCGCCGACCTGATCGGGAACGGACGGGACGACGTCGTCTGCACGAACGAGTTCGACCACAGCGTCACCGCGTTCCGTTCCAACGCCGCCGGCGGACTCCAGCTGATCGGCGAATTCCCGGCCGGCAACAGGCCGATCGCGATCGACGCCGGCGACCTCGACGGCGACGGCCGGATCGACCTCGTCGTTTCCAACTTCATCTCGACGCGCTGCTCGATCCTCTACGGCCTCCCGATGGGACAGTTCGAGGCCCCCGTGCCGCTCACCGTCGGTGCCAACCCGTACGAGCTGACGATCCGCGACCTCAACAACGACGGGACGCTCGATATCGCCGTCGGCCTCTTCTCGCAGGACGCCATCGCCGTTGTCATCGGCCAAGGCGGCCGGGCGTTCGCGCCGGCCGTCACCTACCCGGTCGGCGATGAGCCGAGGTCGATCACCGCCAACGATTTCAACGCCGACGGCGCCCTCGACCTCGCGATCGCGGACACCCGCAGCGGCGGCGTCTCGGTCCTCATCAACAACGGCGACGGCACATTCCAGGGCCGCGTTGCCTACGCGACCCGCGAGACGCCGGGCGCCGTTGTCAGCGCCGATTTCACCCGCGACGGCCGGCCCGATCTCATGGTCAGCCACCCCGTCGACGGCTTCTTCGTCACGCTCGAGGGCCAGGGCGACGGCACCTTCGCGGCGCTCCCTCCGTTCGCGGTTGTCCTGGGCGTGACCAGCATGCGCACACGCGATGTCGACAACGACACCATCCCGGACGTGCTCGTCTCGGGCGCCAGCGCGCGCGTGCAATACGGCACGGGCAACGGCGGGCTCGCGAACTGGACCGGCATCGCCGGCGCCGACTCCAACGCGGTCTTCCTGGACTTTGCCGGCAACGGCGCCTCGTCCGTCGCGGGCGTCGACACCCAGCGTGAAGAGCTCACCGTCGTGGTCAGCGCCTGCCCCATCGTCGAGACCCCGATCGGGCCCGGCCCGTGCGAGATCTACGACGGCCTCTCGCCCTTCGCGGATTATCACGACATCTTCGTCCCCGACGGCGCGGGCCTGATCACCTTCGATTCCAACAACGACGGCAAAGCCGAGATCGCCACGCTCGCCGACAACCTCGAATCCATCACGGTGTTCACGTCCACCGACGGCCAGGGCTTCTCCCTCCCGCTCACGCTCCAGACCGGCCCGAACCCGTCCGACCTCACCCACGCCGACGTCACCGCCGATGGCATCGAGGACCTGCTCGTCGCGTGCGGAACGGACGGCTCGGTCTGCCTCTACCGGGGTTTCGCGAGCGGTTCGTTCGGGCTCCGCGAGGACATCGGCGCCGGGTCGTTCGATTTTCCACAGGCGATCGGCGCCGGCGATTTCAACGGCGACGGCCACTCGGACCTCTGCGTCGCGCAGTCAGATTTCACGCTCACGACCCTTCTCAGCGACGGCGCCGGCGGGTTCCTCCCCGCGATCGACATGCCCATCGCCATCGCGGCGACCGACATCATCACCTGCAACCTGAATAACGACGGCACCCCGGACCTGGTCCTCCGATCCACCGGCACGCCCCTCCAGTACATGCTGGGCAACGGCGACGGCACGTTCGCTCTCGGCAACGTCTACCAGTTGAACAACATCGTCAGTCGCGTCCTTGTGGCAGACGCCGACGGCGACGGGCACGACGACATGGTCGCGCTCGCCGGCAATCAGCTCGTCGCGTACTTCAACGACGGCGCCGGGGGCTTCGTCACGCCGCCGGTCACGCAGTCGATCCAGAGCAACCCGTCCGACGCCGCGACCGTCGACATCAACGGCGACGGGCGGAGCGACTTCGCGATCAGCTACGAAACGAATTCGTCGCAGGTCACGACGACGTTTGTCACGTTCTACCTGTCCATGCCGGACCGCACGTTCGTGCGCGAGCGCTTCCAGTTCACCGGCCGGACCAGCGGCCGCATCGTCTTCGACCACGCCGACACCGACGGCATCCCCGACATGATCCTGCACGGGGGCGTGAACGACACGGCCGTCCTCTTCGGCACCGAGAGCGGCTTCTTCAACCGCCCGGGGCGGTTCACGTTCGGAGAGTTCATCCCGCCCCGCTGGGTCGCGAGCGGGGATTTCGACGGCGACGGGCACGAAGACGTCATCACATCCGGGCTCTTCGTCCAGTGCGCCGTGATGTTCGGGGACGGCCAGGGCGGGTTCGACACGCCACCGCTCGAGCTCCAGTTCGGGAGCGATCTCGCGCAGCCGATCGTCCTGGATTTCGAGGGCGACGGCCTCGACGACTTCGCCATCGTCGACTTCCGCGAAGACAAGCTGCACACGTTCAGCTCTCGCGGCGACCGCACGTTCCGCCCCGTGGACGAGCTCAACACCATGGACTTTCCCAACTCGATCAGGTGCGCCGATATCAACAGCGACGGTATCACGGATCTCGTCGTCGGCTCGGGCGACACGGACGAGTCGATGCAGATCTTCCGCGGCCGGGGCGACGGGAGCTTCGCCCTCGACAGCGAGATCCCGGAGGTCCGCCAGCGTGACTTCGAGCTGGGCGACATCAACGGTGACGGCCACATCGATCTCCTGGTCGGCGTGCCGAACACCAACGCCCGGCTCTTCCTGGGCGACGGCACGGGGCGGCTCGAGGAAGTCGCCACGCCGATCACCCTGGTCGACGTGACGGCGATCGACCTCGCCGACTACGACGGCGACGGCGACGCGGACATCGCCTACAGCGAGGCCGACGGCGACATCCGGGCGATCAGGCACGTCTTCATCAATCAGTTCGAAACGATCTTCGCCGCGCCGGACGCGAGCGGCGTCTCCGATCTCGATTTCGCCGATATCGACGGCGACGGCCGGCCGGACCTCGTCGTCACGCTCGGCCTCGCGGAGCGGATCGACGTCTTCGGGCAGAACGGCAACGAGGTCATCGGCGCGATCAGCCTCGCCAGCGAGAGCACGTTCGGCGAGCAGCCGGCTCAGACGATCGTTGCCGATCTCAACGGCGACGGGCGCCCCGA